CTTAACTGAGCTTGTGCCAAAACTGAATTTATTCTAAAGTCCAAGTCATTACCGTACAATATCTGCTTGCTTTAAGTCACCAATTTGTTTAAATAGGTACCTAATACTGTTACCGGTTATTTTGAAGAAAAGCGGAAACTTGAATCTCCTCTGATTTACTTGAATCCAAAGGCAGAGAATTCCGTCAGAATGTGCTCACTCGCGTATGTCAAGAATGACGTTGACCTGATAGATCAGGGCGGATTAGCACAGATCGAGAAGTGGGTGACTCATCCACTCAAGTGGCGTGATTTGGGGGAATTCTAGGGAGTGCTGGATTCCGAGTAGACTTTTTCTCGGACGCCACTATATCAAAGATATTCACGTTTAGCTTCTCACTGACTTAAATTAGCTAAAGCAGCTGTTTTATCTCAGCAGTATGGGAGTGTAAATCTAAATTATCGATTTTAAATCAGAAATTGAACGTCATTTGTCCTAAGTGCAGTTGCACAAATTACACTTCTCTATTAAATACGAACGATGAGTCCGTCTTTTGGGAGCCTCAATCCATTAAAAGCTTGTTTCCTCTTGATAAACATTTTACTAGCGACGCATGAGTGATTAATTCTAGCCTAGGATATTTATAATCCGCATATTGAGGCCCGATTCCATGTCAACTAGATCCAGGTATATGTGATCTGTAGTAGAACACTCCATCATTTCACTGAATTACTTTTAATTCGAAATCGTGAACAAGCCATTTTGAGAACTAGACAACCGTAATGAGGCTGTAAAGCAGAAAATCCAGCGCTCTTGCTCCATAATGCTGAAGAGTGGTATCCTGGATCTTAGGCTGACTAAACTATGGTTTCAGCCAAAACATTTCGTACTACACTAATAGCGTCAAAGCACACCAAATTTTATGTCTAACTAAATTTCACTTTTGTAATTTGCGTCATCAAATTTGTGCGGACAGTGATTTGCCCGTTAGAGGACACAGCTCAGACTAACCGTAGGAAGTTCAAATTAAATTACTCTGCGCATCACGATAACACGTTAAATTTCGGATGGGCAGAAAGCAGCAATGATAGCATCACTACATTTTACTGCAACATTGTTTACTTCATGCATTTCTTTTTGACAATGAAAAAAAAAGTAAAGGCACTAGCGATGACTTACATTTGAAGCGCATCTTATAAAGTGAGCGCTTTTGTCACTGAATAATGGGTGATCTTCTGGCCTGCCCTCTCAAAATTTCAAAAAATTTCTTGAGAATTTTATTTAAAAATTTGCCCACACATGCTGTTTAATGTGATAATGATGATTTGAATCACATGGAAACTGGTGTTTTCGTGTTATAAAAGATAATGACGATGAACAAATCAGTTTTTACTTAATGTGGAACACTTAAGCGTGTGGGGCGGTGGTTTTCTTTCCTGGTCAGATTTTTGTTTTCAGCTGTAAGGCTGCGTTAAGAGTTCATACCAGCACAATTGCCAAACGATCATGTGACGAAAAACGTAGAAAAGTACATTCGAGAAACAAAGTGAAGTGCCGCCAACCGCCAATTACTTTACCGCGACTGGAATTCTACCTTAGTGAGTAAATTGGGTCATAGTTTTGTCAGATTAAGGCTGGTTCGTTCAAAACTTTGCTTGACAGCAGACTTCGCGTATTATGGCGGTAATATTTCACTTTGTTGTCGTATTTGTGAAGTACAGTCTACTGGTTCATGTGTGTGCATTATTATCACCGACAAATCACCCAAGTTAAATGTAATTTACACAAAATGGACGCTAATCGATGAACCAGGTAATCGTTGATTTGGAACCCCTTTGGCTTTCATCAACGGCGTGAAGGCAAATCAAACTTTAATTGACAGCCTTGCTTTCATTGGGTACTCGGCTGTTTAATGTGTCTCAGCTTTCGAAGTATCAAACAAGTAGGCTGTTTGCCGACAAAATGCTTGTGCGACTGAGAGGCATAGGGTAAAGTGATCAATTTTTGGGGTTAGAATGTGCTTACAATCAAATTCAATTCATGGCGTATTTACTGCTAGTCGCCCGTACACACAACTACAGACCAAGTGATAAAATATTTAGTCTATCTTACACAGGTGATTCACATGATTAGTCAGCGAACTCGCTTTCTAGGTTGATAAACAGCCTTAATTAATTTTTTTTTTCATCAATAAATGTCTCGGTAAGCGACTCTTTTAAGACGCGTAAAGAGTAAACAATATAAGGAAATATGGCGTCCCATCAACTTGCCGTGTCCACTTGACTGATTCCCATATGAGTGGTAATTTAAACAAAACCCGATTAATGGGTCGGAATATTCACGCACAGATTCCAGGATCCGTGACAATAACTAAATCATGAATTAGGACTAAAGTACATGCGCTTCATTCTGTCAAGATTCCAGGAATATTTTTCTTAACCGTATGGCCCATTTGGACGCATTGCTGGACAGTGTGGCCATTGTCAGAAATTGCTAACCCTTCCCATCCACAGATATTCAAATTTGATTGGGTAGTCACCATCGAAACCTGCTTAATGACATTTGGATTTACCAGGCTCTGAATGCCGAATGCCAAAAATATCTAGCTTTTCACGTGAAACAATATTTTACTAAAATTGAAACTTTACTGCCCTGTGTGAGACTTTACCAAATTCCTTTCTTGTTTTGGGTTGCAAACTTCAGACAGAAATTTGCAAAATTCCTGGTTTTTATGACCCAGGTGCTTTATTTGTTAGCAAAGTGCTCTTCGACTATTCAAGATTTGTTTCAGGCGATTGTCAGGTGATATTGGGCGCCCCCCTGAGCCTTCACACCTGCTCAAAAATTATGCTGGCATTGTTTATACCTTAGTCTGCAGAAACCGCCATTTCGTGTGGGTGCAGTAGTGCGCGAAATGCGTGAGAGAGCTGAAGGAATTATGTCAAAAGATTCGACTTGAGTGCACCGTATCCAACGGAAGTTAATGTCATTTAGGGGTGGAGTAATCTTGGGAATTAGCGAGCAATGCAAAAGCAAGGCTTGAATTTCAACTCAATGTGACGTAACTACGAAATGATCGTAAATCTCGTCACAAGCCCGTTTGACCAATGGCATCGTACCTTCAGATTGTGTATAGAGCTTGTGAATGCCTCACATATTGAAGCGTCCAAAAATTATTTATCCGGCAGCGTTGCTGGCAACTTGAACTGCCAGATCGTTAATCTATAATTTTTTTTCATTGTGACCTACGCAAAATGACATTTTGTGGACTAGATCGGTTTAATTGACACACTTAAACAAGCACGGAAATTATGGTTCTAATGTGAAAAGCGAAAATGCTAGTTACAAAGGCATTCTGGATGAATTGCATGTAACCCGTAAATCCATAGCTGATTGCTGGACTGATATACAGCGCACTACTTAGTCATAATCGGCTTACGTGGATACCTTAAGAGGAGGTAAATGGAATTAGCTTCTCCTGCTTCAAAAGTGGAGTCTATTTCACAACGGTTGCATCGCGTAAGTTGGACTACCACGACTTCGGCACTGGTGGATTCCATCTTCAGAGTTTTTCGGCCTGAAACGTTGGTTCAGTGCAACAGTTTTCTGGTCACGGTCAGCAAAATCACTTTCAGTGATCACAATAATTGAACAGTCTAAACAGACATCAAAAATAGCCTAGATACAGACGCCGGTGAATGCCGAAAGCTACCTGTTTACGCCCCCCCATCTAAACAAGTGTACATCACTCACGTTGGACAACTGTCGTTAGTACACTCATTGCCTCGAGAGGGGTAGAAATTTCCTTACATTAAAGTTCGACAGTTCACCAATGACTTCAATTAAGCATTCAGGTTTTACGTCGGTACGTGATACAATGGCACTATGTCCATGCAAGTGGCCTAATATGAACACATAGTTTAATTTGTAGAGGCAATGTAATTAACGTCGATAAAAAGTTGTCATATCTCGTAGACACTGTAGCTGTTAGGACTTTCAAGAATCTATTAAAACTTCCTTTCCCTTTGAGATTGTCTATGGGTGGGTTGACGTTTGAGATCTGATCGCGTGAAAGAGGTATCTTTAAAGTACACGGAAATAAAAGTAGACAGGTAACTATCGAAACACACTCACACCGCTGCAAATCACACTGAAAGGAAGACAAAATAACGACCAAGAGGATCACTAAATAGTTCTTTTTTTTTAAGCTGACGTGCCTCTTGAAATAGTTAACTACAGGCACGATCAGAATAGCAATAGGTGTGGTTAAACTAGGCATCACTGTAGTTCTATCGGTGAGAGCATTAAGGGGAATGGACGACTACCGCACCCCCACCGTTCAAGGTACACCAAACACTTTAATTCCACGCTTAAACTCAGGACTAAATAAAGGTTACCCTCAACCGCTGGTACAACCAACCCACCCTGCCCAAACTGGCTTATTCGCCAACACGACCCCTATCAAAACATCCTCGCGTTTTTACATGTTGCAGCCCCATAACACCATCAACCACTGCCACTGCGCGATTCCGCCGGCGTCTTGGGAACATTCCGAAGCAGAGCCGCTTGAGCCTACTTGCAACAATGAGGAAATCTAGAACACGAAGTTACAATTGAACAAACCGCGCACTTCAGCCTCGAAATTGGAAGATCGATTTGAGCTCAAATAACCGTCGTTCCGCCACACAGGGGCCAAATGAACAGCGATCAAGTTTAGCAGCCCCCATGCGAAATTCGGTGACCTTGGTTATCCGACCCAGTGCTACAATCACATTTTGTGAAGCCTACATTTTGTGTGAAGACCTTTGAAACACTAGGTGCAGTGCATCCACACGCACAGAGGATGGTGTGCGTTGGAGAACAGGCATAACTCCACACATGCACACATTTATTTGAAAAAGTAGACTAAAATATGCTTCGATGACCTATTTCATGCTGGCTGGATGACTAGCAATCACATACACAGAGTTAGGCATGGGTGAATGAGTAGTCCGCTGCAGACTGACAGGGAGAGCACAACCTCAGGTTCTACGATGATCGGTTTTGGCACAGGGGAAGCAGAATCGCAGTCGACGCGGCAACTTGGGGTCGTAGATCCAGGTCAGGAAGAACAGGCCTGAAATTGGGAGTCCGGCGCTTATTTCGCATTTTTATAGGCCTAAATTAGCGCTCCTAAGTCGAGCTAAGGATGCAGACACTTGTGAACAAGTTGTTGAGTATTTGGCTACCTCCACAGATTTGGCAACTATCAATCTGTGAAAATAAACTATAAATATTTTGTACTAACAAATGTCCTGGCGCCTGAGTAAAAGTAAACATCCAAAATAACAAAACAACTTTTATGCTTAAAGTAGTCGATGGCGCAAAACCATTCGGGAGCGGAATTAAGATGCGTTAAAGATTAATTCCATTTACTCTTAGCACGGAATTTCATGACATTGCTTGGAAGGTGACTAACTCCGATTAAGACGTGACCGATTCGTTTTTCCGATGGGTATCCACGCGGGGAGGACTTACCAAGCATACAAACACCGGCAGATCCATAGAACAAAAGATTCCATTGTCCACCTGCCATTTGGCTTGCAAAGGCACTCAGGCAGCTTCCAACCGACTAAAAATAAATTGGAAAGGCTCTGTAATTGTATGTCTTCATTGGCTTGAGAATGGGGACGAATGACTGAATGAGTTTAATCAGTCTAATTTCCTACATTCCGCTTGTGTTCACTGATTGTATTTCCTGTGATGTATTCATTTAAAACAAGTATTTTTCGATGAGTTGTGGTGATTGTGAGAATGCAATCAAACTTTGCCATGGAACAGCTATTTGATGCTTTTCAACATAGCCGATCGCAGACTTTGAACACAACATTTCCGACTATCAGTTGGATCCAAGATCAAGTATGTCCAGTTTAACAACATCAAGCATTCAAAAGACCTCGGATATGGCACAGGAAGCACATCAGTAAGTCTAGACAACTATAATAAAACCTTCGACACGTTCGACTGAACTATTGACCGTCTGGTGTGCTAATACTGTCACGTAGGTAATACGAGTTACACGCCAAACGGCACGTAGAACATAGGATGCGGGTCAACAAGCATAATCAGCTTACAAATGAACTGAAAACCATTCCGTAGTTTGTGGCCATGTTTTTCGGTCCAAAAAGAAGGCGTGTTCCGGCCGGCATTATGGCAAAAACACCAGACATGGCAAAGAACATAAGGCAGACAAAAATCGCGTAGGTGAACCGAGCCACGCCAACTCCCCAAATGAAGACATTGGGGAAGCACACGAGGGAAAAGGCCCACAGCAACAGCATAGACGCTATCGGTACCTAAAAAGGAAATTCTACTGCCTGACAATGCCATTTCTAGAATTTGCAAATGCGCTATAAATAAAACACGCTTTTTAAGACCACATATGGCATCGCGGGATCGGAAGTTTGGTTTTGCGAAAACGGTACACCGCAATCCTGACGGATTTAGCGATAAACGTGATCAGCAGTCGAAAGACAGTTTGTAGAGTCCAGTGTTTAATAGCATCAAATTTTGTTTCGGCACTTGGCAATTACAGCAAGCCCTAAATGCTTCCGTCACACGAAGACGAATGGAAATGTAACGAATGCGTGGGTGCGTTGAACGCTAGACTAGTTCGGAGATGAATGCAGATTTTTTACTGCATAATGACCAATGAGCTTAGCACAGCGCGATTCCGGGCACGATTAGGAAACATTTGCAACACAGGTACGCTCTTAGTTGACTCGACGCAGTACGATGCCTCGGAACAGTGAAACTAGTGTTAACGAGAGACAAATTAAACCAATTAAATCAACTATGCTTACCTTAAAGGAGAACTTATCCACTAGGAAGCCCCAGAAGACTCTACCGAGGCAGTTGAACAAGGAACTGAGTGTAGCAATGGTGGAGAGGTACACGTCGTCACTGATGTATGCCTGGCCAAAAATCTAAAAGCACAATCATGTTTAGGAAATGAATTCAAGCAAACCAACTATTAGGGTCTTCGTTTAGTAAGTTTGCAACTAGAGCCTCGTGGTGCTAATTGCCGTCAGGTAAATACCGATTTCCGATCACTTTTTTCCCTAGACGCATTAGGGCAATTGTTTTAGGCGCTTGCTACTCAATGTGGATTCAGCAAAAAAGATCAATGACAAGGCCAGAGACTGTGTTGTCGCCTTCCACGCACCCTAGCATTTCCAAGTATACAATCCGACACCAAATCTTTCCATCAAATTACTATTGACATGATCAACATCCATATCCTGCTGCATTGGATTGGATGTGATTCCTGCAATGGAAGTAACCAGTTCTGTGCGATCAATAGATCAGTTATGCAACTCGAAGTGCCTCGGCACATACCTTGTAAGCCGAGGTAATCAGGGTGATTGGAATAATGTTGCAAAACATGAGTCCCCAGAGGAAGTAGAAGTAGCGGCACCTGAGGGTCTCCAGTGGAGACATGTTGAACTCCCTGAAGTGCAAAAAAAGCAAATTTACACATAACGCCGAGTGTGTCGATCGACCAGGAGAATCCGTAGTTTCATTCCTATAGCTTCAAAAAGGTAGTGTTCCATTTCGCATTTCAGCTAGTTATACATCGAAAACTGATTCACAGATTCAGTTTCTGGGGTCTACCAAAGAGTGCACTTTCAACCCCGCAATCGATTTTCGCTGGCAAAGTGCACGGCGCAAGCCCCGAAACGCCATCCTCTTTGCCAAATTGCGCACTTTACACGCTGCAAAGCACAACTGCTGCCTCATCCTGCCCGAAGCCGCGCTGCTGACGCATAAATAACCAACGCCCAAACGGGAGGATCGAAGATCTCTTCTGCCAGCGTGACAAGTTTGTTTTTTTTTTCACTCGCAATGGGGTTTCGATTGGCAACAGAGGAGGTAGTTGCTTAGTTTTATCGCGAGTGTGTTTAAAAGAGCCCCAACCACTTACTCTGTGACTGTCGCGTCCTTGTGAACTACCTCATCTTCTAGCAGTGCGTCTCCGGACCTAGAAAAGTAACAGAAACAGCATGTGACATCACTGCTCAAACTAATTAATTCACCTCAATGCTTGAACTCAAATGTGCGTGAAAATTTGACTCCAAAAAACCCAGGAGTCAGTTTAGCCCGAGCACCCACTTTCAAGCCTATTAATAATCACTAGGGAAAGTTCGCAAGCGAGACAGATTACTGCCAGGTAGCAGCATTTGTGTGGATAAGCAAACCAACGTGACCAGGCGATTTCACATCCACTAGTATCAAAACAATTTGGCTCTGTAGGCCTGGCAACCAGAATCAGCCTACGTAGTGACTCAGAGGCCAATGGCAACGTTCCAAGACATCAAGAAGCACACTAATTGCCCCCAAACCATTAAACACCCTCATTTAATGAAACCAAGACTCCTGTCGACCGCTTTCTTATGATCTTCTATCAGCAACTTCATTGTTGCAGGGCTATGGCTTTTTTAAAGTTCTGGTGCCTTAATGAACAACAGTGGTATTTATGGCTGGGGTAAATATAGATTACTCCGCTCCAAAACGCTTCACACACACACAAGCGTCACGTAACGAGGACTGAAACGAACAACGGTGAAAAACTGATTTTAGGAAAAGCATAGGAAATATTGCTTGACTGGGGCCATTCAATTGGCGACACATGCATGCTTGGACTTGCTCTGTGGGAATCACGTCCTGAAATCGGTGTGAAACGAATTATTTGGCTTGAAAAACGACACGCAACACAAGAAAGCAGGGTCAGAAATACAGCGGCCTAAGTCTCGGAGGCTTGGACCCATAATTGGTGGCAAAAGATCCGTGCTACGTGAGCCAGAATTAACACCAATAAATGTGCTAGATCGGATTTGGAACACTGAAATCTACATGAATCAGCACAGCGTTAGGCGCTTCAAAGTAAGGCGCAAAAAGGTCCTTTCTGAAATGGGACTGCGCACATCGAGCGAAAGGTGAATCACACTGGTGTTTCACAGGCATTTCTACTAGAATGTGGATCGACCACTAAGACGCATTTTCAGCAAAAAAAAGGTGATTTGTCCAATTTTCGGGTGTGCACGCTGTGTGGTTAAGTAGAGACAGAAACTGCCTCACGGAGTTTACATTAGCTTGCGTAGTGGATGTGAACACGTTTTCTTATAACCATTGCAATTAACAAGGTCAAACAAAAACGGTAGTAGGGTTTGGTGATAAAAAAAACCCAAGCATTCGATTATCGCTAAGCCGAGTCACACATGGTGGAAACGCCTTGTCCGAATTTCACACAAGACTGGGCAGGGCGTTAAAGTATCACCACGTTTTTGGCAGACTACCGAGGGTATTTAACTGGGATAAGCAAGAGTCAGCGTTTATTACTCAAAAAACAAAACATGTCAATAAATTAAGGAAGGATGACTTACTCCTTCGTTTGTCGGAGTTCAGTTGAAGGATCCTGAAATGAACACAAACAGGCGACATGACAGAACACCAAGATTCCTCACAGCACACCAACTATAAAAGTAGCTGGAGACAGCTTACCATCTTGGGACTCGGCTTCTTCCTGATTATGATGCACCCAATTAGCTGTAATCCCATCATTACACCACCGATCACGAGGTAGGAGGTTGGTATGCGACCCAAAACCGCCTCGTCTTCGAAATTTCTAATGCAATGAGGATTAACATTCGCAAGTCTGGGTAATGCACATGCGATTAAACATACACACGCTCCTAATACTGCCCTTGATCAGGCAGTAGCAGCCAGCTTGAGTAGGGGAAGGCGTGAGGAACGTCCGTCAATCACTCGGAAATGAGGTTATTTAGATGAAAACTCGTAGCTACAAGTAATGCTGGCGTCTATCCAGCCATAAGATCAAGAACCTCGTGGACAACGCCCAGAGCTAGCAGTAAACACAACTGCCAGAACACCTGCCCTCCGACTAAGGGCGCATGCACGGACAAAGTTTGGGTTTTGACTTTTTCGCAGTGTGATGTTTAGGGAGTTGAAGTGGCGTGAGAACATTTAGCTGCTTACCTTGTTGTTGCATTCACCACGACGTTGAGTGGATTAACGTAGGCCATTTGGATCGGCGTAAATACAAGCGCTCCAAGTCCGAAACCAGCCGCAATCAGTCCGATCACGAAGCCGCCATGGCTTGGGAACCACTAAAACAGACGAGTTACGAGTGGTTTTCGAGTACCATAGCTGAAATGAGTTGTCTTCCAATCTTGCGCCAAATTAAACTTCGACTTCGTGTTTTTTTTTGGACACCAGGAAAAACCCAGTCACGGAACACCGATTAAATCACTCGCCTTCTGTCTACTTCATTACCAAGGACACAACCTACGGCAGTATATTAAACTTATTTCTGGCGACAATCGCCTAGTCCAGCCCAAAACAGACATCGAGGTAGCCACTGCAGACACTATTCATTAATTATGCAACATCCGAAAAAAAGAATGCGCAGTTTTGCAATTTATCACTAAGCACGAACATGGCAAAAGAAACGATATTACTTTGAATCTTTGAAAGTCTATAAAGATTGAACTTACGCTTGCAGCGGCTTGCATGACGACGGAGTACGCCAGACCCACGCCGAGACCAAGGGAAATAAGGTGGGTTACCAAGACCCAAACAAATCCATACTTCAACCCGAAGAATGTCAACATGAAAGCCCCACTGAAAGCAAAGTGTTACATATTAGCGCACGATCAGAAAGGAGATGCTCACAGTTGTCTTAATTGCACCAGATTCTAGATGGGGATATTGGGTCGGAAATTGACAGAAATGTTGCTGGTGTGTAAACAGACGTTGCGATGGTTTTTTAGAGGTAAACATCTGGCAATATAACACCCGTGCCAGATAACCACAAAATGAATCCGAGGCCGTCGGTAGCAGACCTTGCAACCGAGACGCTAATCGATACATCCCACGTGAAAGGCAGGAAAATCAATGATCCAGTCTGGCTGGGCCACTTAAGTTGGTTTGGCGCAATGGGATGGTGATTTGGGCTTAAAAAATTGTTCTAATGAGAGGACACAGACGTTGAACGCATACACGCTTACAAATTTTATCAGCAATGCGAAAATATGAGATAAAAATATTCAACAGCCACGGAGAACTACGCGAGAGGAACTACGAGGTAAAGAAATAAATCCTATCTACTGTGACTTCAGGTAATAATCTGTATAGAGCCGATTAAAAGCATTGAACAGTCCTGTGGTAAAATTTTTACATTAAACTACAAGCAAATTTTTTGCTTACCTGTTGATAATCGATCCAATAATGACGACCAATTTTGTGCCCAATTTCGGCGCCAAAATACCACCGAGGGGCATAAATAAACCTTGGGCCGCGAGTGCAGCAGCCGACACCCAAACCACCAGCCCCTTATTGAATTGTGGGTCGATATACTTGATGACGTAGGACGCGATGTACGGCGTCATATTTCCTGTGGGACGATTTTAGGGAAACGTTACAACTTACCAATTGTGTACATGCATCCAAATGATAAATGGATCAAAAATCCAGCAATCACGACCAAAACACCGTAGACGGTATCCCTACTCGGCATCGCGAGATGGCGTTCAAGAAATGGGTGAGCTCCTGCGGACGAGACTTTTATTCGCCCTGATTCATGTTCTGAATTCTTATTGGCTGACCCAACTTGCATTGCCGAGGGGGTTTTGTCCAATTAGGAAAACACTTGAATCTGGTTGGTTTAGACCGACCAATTACAAAGCAGCTAGCGTGACAACATAACCTATTTTTCAAAGTTGTGGAAGGTGTGGCTTATTGGTCAGCTGACGTGTTAGCCACTAGGCCAAATGCCTCTTTTGTAGTTTTCTACTTGGTGGCGGGATGATGTTACCTTTTTTCAACATGTAGGGGCATAATGTACAACATCCCTTCTTATAAGCTGATTGGGCCTAGCAGGTAGAAATCATTGAAACGAGCTATTATTAGGTTTATCCTGTAACAGCGTTGTGGAAGCGCGCGAAGTTCACTGTGTTTAAATTTGAATTTAGCGTAGCACCGATTCATTTTCAATGAGGTGTTTTGGGTGGTTAATTATCGTTTAATTTCTGCTCTTAGTTCGGTGTTTGCCGGCCTCATCCAATTTACCACGTACTAAGGTGGAAGTTGGTGTTGTATTGGTCTATTGTTCTGTTGCTAGTCAACTGTTTCCGTCACATCGTCCCAGTAACCACCTCTGGACACATTCCCCGCTTAGTTTTATTTAATCAACTCTGTAACTAATTATAGCACAAAGACTTTACTGCTCTTTCAATGTTGCATCTATTCAAACTCCACTCTCATCGGTTATTCTCCTCAGAACCGCCGTTGGTTTAAGATATTTCTTGTCAGTTGTTAAATCTTGTGAGGCTTGCCAACTCGCCGATCATATTTTAAGTTACATTTTCAAACTTATCCTTGTGCCAGGTTGAGGAACTGAAAGAACGTCTTTTTAAAAATGTAATTGAGATCACCACAATCATAATCTTATATGTATAGAGTTTGTGTTAAGGTAGTGATTAACAACATGGATCTACCGACCTGTATTGTAGCATTAAAGACGTGTCTTCGCCATTACAGAGAATCTACGTTGGTTAATTTCCCTATCAGACTATACCGGCATGGCGTGAATCAGTTAAATGCAATATTAACCAAATTGAAGCCGCCTAAGGAGCGAAAAAATTCCTCATTTTCTCCTAAGTAACTTTGAGTAAATGAAATCAGTCTTGTTTGAATGATCGCAGAATTCGTAATTTAACTAAGCAACCATTGTTCGCAGTTGGCTGACACAGAGAATGTGTTCATTGCATTTTTGTGTGAGGGAGTTAACCGGTACGTGGTAACCCGAGGTCACGGCAGAAAGTCAAACGGTCGTTTTTCGAGCTATATCAGAGCATTTTGATGGCAAAGTGTAGTCAGTATTTCCAAAGCTCTGGTCTTGAAAAGAGAAGTTATCTTTAGGCTTAAGACGATGTTATCTCAAGCCTTTTTTCGGGCTGGCTTCTGTTGGCCCGTTTTGAATCAATGCAACAATGGCGGGACTTGCCCTGTTAAATACGCCAAAGTTTGCTTTAACGCAATCCAAATTTGTCCGATTCTCTGTGTGGACTGACTGTCTGTGTGTGCTATTTTGGGTAGTGACAGAAACACAGCCAACTTCCTTTTTTGACCAGGTTCGCTACTGTGTTATTGCATTCCTTAGAACAGTTACAGCAAGCCACATAAAATTTCTAAAAATACAATAATTCAACTGGTCAAGAGTGCGCTTTCTTTTAACAGGCAATTTTAAAAAGAAAACAGCTTCATTTACTAGTTGTGCGCTTTTTAAACTCCTTTCTGGCGACCTTTATCTTAACCGATACTACGATTAGGTTTCTTGGTGCCAGTCTAATCTCGCTACCTGCCATAAAAACACGTTTTGCAAACGATACGCAACCAATATTAAATTATAATCGCCTTAAAGCGTTTGTGGGGAGACGAGATCCAATAGGCAAACACCCTCATAAAGAAAGGCCTTCGGAAGGCGATTACAGCTATCTAGTTATTGTTATTAATTCATGGGCACTTAAGCTACGGCGTAAATACTTTTGTTCAATCAAGTTAAGCACCTTATGGCGAGTTGGTAGGAGGAGTCCGCCTGGCTCTGTAACCGAACCTGAAACCGTTACATTCTTGCTAGATTCATTAAAAAAGGTGGGGTCTTATCCGAAAACGTCACATACATAGTGACTTAGAGGGCACAACTATATGATCGGAGAGGTTAATAAAAGGGTTCAAGGATTACTACCTGAAAAGCAGGTATCTGGTTGGGCTTTCTCGGTTGGATTGGAAATCGAAGGCGTGGTGCAATGGCCAGAGCATTTAGAAGAAATAAATTTCTGTGAAACCTTGGTCAGGGCCAATAACTTATGCAAATTATACGTTCTAGATCCTAGCACCCTGAGTTTTACTCGATCGTACAAAATTTCCTGTCAATGCGTATTCGAAAGTTAAAAGTGTGACGCCCGGTCTGGCCTGTTCTTTGTCCTCCTCTCCCTTCCCGCACTCTCGCCTTCCTCAAGGCACGCCCGTGAGTCCGAGGGCAACACCATCCCTCCTCGCGGCCATCCCTTTCCCCACTCTAATTTTCCCTAAGCTCTTGCCCTCTGAGTTTGTATACGGTAGTATGGAATGCACCCGGTTCTTCCAGCTATTCTTCTATCGTGTGCCTGGCAGCTAACCATGACGGTGTGGTTATCTAAGAGGGACGGGCTAACAGCCATCTCCCTACTTAGGTCCCCTATCGGTAGGCGCGTTACAAAAGTTGCAATAATATTTTCAAAAGGTCATTACGACGGGTGAATAAGAGGAGTAAACTGAGCATAGCTCTGGCTTGACCCTATCTTTCAAGGACGCGAGCGATGACCTTCACTCCGCTTGCAAGTCACACGCCACTACGCATGCTCAAAGTATGACGCAAGAACAATGATAATCTTCCCGCGTACAGTGAAAGCACTACTGGTTTTGCATTTAATCGGATTGTCCATTTACAAAGAAGTATTCCATTAACAAGGCACCGCTAACAATGCAGTGTTTTGGCTGCTATTCATCAAAATAATGACCCAACTCATTCATTGCCATTTAAAAGATTCGAAGCAGACAAATTCTAGCAAAAGGTTGCTACGCTTCGTTTCCAACCCAATGTCGTGACTAAATGCAAAATTTAAGCAAAATTGGAAAAGTTAAAAACTGTCATTTAATGTAGGTTTGGAATTTAAAGACGGCGGAAGTTTGGTACATGATTCATTATGCAACCCATTTTACCAGTAAGTGACGGAAGTATTTTAGTTACATGTTGCAAACCAGCTTCATTTTTGCAAAATAACTCGCAGCAAGGAATTTGGAACACAAAAGGCAAAAAGGGTTTGATGTTCTCTTTTAGCAAGATGTCCTTAAATTTAAAAAAAATCATTAATGCAGACACAAATTAGTCTGGAAGATTATTAATCCTAGGTTCGGAGATTCCAGTGATTTGTGTAAAAATAACTTTTGCCAAAATACCTCCTGGCGATTTTTTGTGCTAAATTCTGAAAAATTACACCTAAAAAACTGCCACATAAAGTAGTAACCTCAGATAAGTGGCGAGAACTAAGACTTTTGTCGCTAAACTCTAATCAAGGCTGAAAAGCTTAAACTGTGATTGGTTTCCCTTTACACGTATTAACACAAAAGTGAAAATTGCAAGCCAAAAAGTTGGCAATTCCCAGCCAGCTTATTTCAGGTCCCTTGCAAGAAGTAACGCTGAACTTTTGAAATCCGAAGTTTTTCAAAAAACCGACTTTTTTCATCAATCCTACCCTTCTACATTTTTGTCAAGTTTAATTGATCCGACAATTAGCCTGCAAAGGGTTCTGGCCTTGTAGATTAGGCCAGGTTAAGAAGTATTCCACCTGGCCCAATTTTTTTTCTTTATCGTGAAAATTCGATTTAATAGCGACAGTTGCGTAAGTAAATATTTTATTACCAGAGGCAACGCTGCGTAGTAATGAATTTGGACATGCAATGAAGAGAACAAGGCGCCGAAATACTGGTTGCGCTAAAGCAATGCTTATTGGCAGAAGACTGCACAGAACATGGCGTTAATTAGTCCTGGACTTGTGCAATGCAGACGGTGAATTACAGACTTCCAGACACTCTAGTGCGCCTCACGGTGTCAGCAAATTGGGATTTGAACTAACCACACACGCAGACAAGATCATGTAGTTAGACAATAATCTCAATGATCACACCTAATTCTGGGAACCTTAACGACATTTTCTTGAGGCCAAACTCGAAAATACTTATTGCGAAGATGAATTTTTTTATTTTGTCAGTACCAATTGTGTGTGTTACTGGTAAAGTAGATCATTTCAACTTAAAAAAACATTGACATAAGTCTAGTTTTACAGAATTCGACTTTGCGCCAACAGTTTACTTCAAGTTTAAATCTGATGCGTCAAATCTCATTCTGTCTGCACACAAAGTTGAATCTGTGATTTTTCAAACCGACACAATTTCCTGTCTGCTAACGCATATACCGCGAGGAAGGCTGGGCAATGTAACTAGGCTAAACTATGAACCGCCACAACGATTCCCGGTATCACGTTCGTTGAGAGTTTGGGCAAGAGAAATGGTAAAAAGACGGCTGTCAAATGCCAACCAGAAGATCAAGACTCGAGTAGAGATCAGTTCTGCGATAATTATAGGGTGCTGAGACATGCGGCCTGCGATTCACACCTTGTAAAGTTAGCAACTGGCTTGCAGAGGTCACAGAGGACCTCAGATTGACGCCTCTGCGACATGGCGAAAACTGTCAAATTGTGGTCTTGGCAGCCTCACTCAACCACGCGTTATCACGTTTACAAAGCGTGGAGTCAATTGGAATTAGCTTAGGTGACGTACCAAACTTTGCCCATTGTGGACGTGTATGGTTGTCAATTTAAAAAAAACAATTCTTCATCGTTGATGACTTAATCACTGGACTGTAATCTCCAAGTTACCATTAAACATTTAATTCAGTTCAGTTTTAACTAGACTCAT